GGGGGAATAGTCAAAGGAGGAGCCGGAGAAGAGGTAAGAGCAGTAGAAGAAGGAACAAAAATACCTGGGGCCGGTAAAGAAGGAATCACATGCACGGGTAATGAAAAAGACGATAAGGTACTTCGTCTAAAACAGGCCCGACATCTTCACGACCAAATCCACTGACGAAAAGTTGGTCGATAGACTCACGAGTATCGTGGGGAGTGACGTCATCATCAGGAATTATTATTGGGGTTTCAACAGGTTCGGTAAGAGAAACTGAAACTTCAGCTTCGTCATCGGAAACGATGCGTCTCCTAACTCGTGGCCTCGTTACCAAGGAACTCTCATTTTCCTCTTATTCAGAATTTTCCTTTTCAGCAACCTTCCTTTTCGCAGAAGATAAACCCAAGACTATTTCTCGGGCTCTCTTTAAAGAGATACGGGTTCCCGAAAGAGTAGGAGTTCCCAAAGAGACACGAGAGGCTGCAACTGCTTCAGCAGTAACCCCTCGAATAGCAAATCCTGACAAAAAAAAGGATAAAAGTTAAAACAATAAAGCAGAATATAGGCACAAAAAGAACAAAATGTGAACTCTTACCATGAGTCTTTACCTTCCAACCAAAGCGGTTAGAAAGTGTTTTCCAAGATCTACCATCCATTGGCGCGATCTTCAGCAATTTATCTACCCAACCACGGAAATTGGGAACATCCCCCACAACTCCTATGGTTGCTAAAAAAAGGGGGGGGGGGTAAAATTAGAAAAACTGATAAACTTGAAAGAAGAAGGTACGAGAAGGATAAAAGACCTACGTGTAAAATTGCACTTCTCAGGGAAGGGAACATTATCTTCGCCCACTAAACCAACAGTGGGGGAAACAAAAAATCGAGCATACCAGCCACGATCCTTGTCATCTTTAGGGCTCACCAAAACCCTCTTACTCCTGGCTACTAGTGTAAAAATGCCATTACGAAAAAGCCTAGGTGAGTAAAGATGAATCAAGTGAGGAAAAGTAAAAGGAGCTTCAGCTTTAGTGGCTAAATGCCTTAAACATGCAACAACCCTCCATATGATTGGGCCAATTTGACCCAAGCAGACATTGAAGAAACGAAAAAATTCAAGAATGACTGGGTCGATTGCTGGTCTAAACCTTAAAGTAAAAGGGTAAGTGTAAACAAAATAGAATCCATTTAAATAGGAAGTAATTCTCTGATTCGGATTAGGGATAATAATGGGAAAATCATTACTCCAATGACAGTCCTTATGAACCACAGGAGTCAAAACCTCTGTAATTTAAGTAGGGTAAGCATCGACACGATCTAATGCGGAAACCTGGTTTCTAAGAGATTCCCTGTCATGGTAAAAAGACAATTCTAAAGGGACTATCTCATCTACTAAAGGTTCACGTAAAGTTTCAGAATGGTCTTTACCCCTAGAAGAAGATTTGCGAGAAAGGGAACCTCTGGTGCTAGAGGAAGGACCAGAACCAGAAGAAGGCATAGACGAACCACCTCGAGTAGATCCTAAACTACAAAGTCTACCTCCCCTTCTGTGCCTAACAGGGGCATTGGGGAAGGAGTCAGTAATGGAAACTCTCTCAGAGTTAGGGCTTGGAGAAAACATATCGAAGAAGAATGATTCAATGAAGAAGTAAATAGAGATTTGGAGAAATAAGTGTTCAATAAACTTTATGTGATAAAAGACAAGGAAAAAAATATATTTATACCGATAAGCAACCCCCAAAGGTAAAAGTGCGGAGGTGGAAAAACCATAATTATGATAACTGACACTTCATTAATAGTGGAACCGTAAAAACCTTGAAAAAGGATGCAAAAATTGCAGAGCCAAAGGAAAATTGATACGTGTACGAAATATTAAATGGAAGTGACAATTGAAGCGTCAATTTTGTCATAGCATTAATGGTGACAACAATTCTCGTTTTAATGAAATCCACTTCCCAAATATTCAATTGATGAATAAATGGAAAATGGGGGGACTATCTGTATTGGGAAAAATTGCATTTATATATGCAAGTGACATGTTGAGACACGTGAACTGGTCAAATAGTCAAAGAATTATAATTAGTCAAGAGGCACAGGAGGACATTTGAAGGATTCAGCGCCCGTACCTACTTAAATCATTTATCAAAAGGAATGGATCTGACCATAATAAAGAACGCAGATACGAAATTCGACAGGCATTAAATACTGGATACGTTAGATAATTTGTATTGTTTACAATGATTGTGTAACGTAGCATTTAATGTCTTTAATTATTTATAATAGCCTCATTATGATTTGGAGGAAACACATTTCTTCAAGATACCTATAAAAGGGAGGTATCTGGTCACTTGTAAACACAAGACACATTTGGAATATACTTTGATTCGCTTGTTTTTCTCCTGATTATACTCTGGTTACTCTAAATTACTTTCTTCTACATATTCTTTTGATTATTAGTAACCCGCGTTCTTCTAAATTCTAACTTTGACTGAAATTCTATTTTTTGGTTAAACAACTGCAATGGCTGGTTTTTCTTCCTGTTAGCTGCAATGGATCTGAAGGTTGAGCGCAAGGAAAAAGACATGCAAGAGACAGGGGCGGCCAGCGGGTGAAGTCATTAAAGCGGGGGCTTTAGGCACCAGAATTTTAGGAGCCCTAATTATTATTTTTAATTCTTACTCGATATCCAGTATTTGATTTGGAGGCTTAACTAATTCGAGTTCGTACTGTGTAAAGTTCATGAAAGCTGAAACTGCTCTCTAGAAAGAACTTTTTTCATTCAAGACTCGAACCGAATACCTCCGGTTAAGGAAGGAAAGATCATATCCATCCCACTACAATTCTTCTAGTGAAGCCCTAATTGTTTTCTAGAAAATACTAAATATTTCAAAGTAGAAAAGTAAAATATTTTATATAAGGAAATTAGTACATTTATCATTCGAAAATAAGTACTAATACACTTTAAAAATTCATTTTTAATTTGTTTTTGTTTTTTCTTAGGTCTCCATCACTGTAACACGTATATTGAAATATCAAAAATTATTCCGATATAAAGTTAGCAACTTCTTGATTCGGATTTTTTTATCTAAGATCATAATGTCACATGATAGATTAAATGACATATGCAAAAAATTATTAAAATTTTTATTCTCAAAAAACTCTACTTCAAATAAAAACATATAGGAATTTTTTTATGGCCTCCCATTAAAGTTTGGCTTTAGGCCACCAAACTTATTGAGCCGCCCCTGGCAAGAGAAGGAAACACTCAGAAGATAAGAGAAAACAGAATTTGTTATTGAGAAGAAAATGATACAACCGTCTATCCATATATGAATGTACTGTGTATTTATAAAGCTACAACATAACTACCTTCTAACACTGTAATAACTTACTTCTAATTACAGTCTACAATTATATTTCTAACTATGGTTAACTTATCAGCTTGCTTTGTTAACTTCAGTCAACACTCCCCTCAAGCTGATGGTTGATATACATTCTTCACTCCTAGCTTGTTCGGTAAACAATCATGTTGAAATTTCCCCAAGCTCTTTGTCAGTAAATCTGCTAGCTGATCTTTAGTGTGTACATACTCTGTCTTCAGCAGTCCTTGACATATTTTCTCCCTAACAAAATGACAATCAATATCAACATATTTGGTCCTTTCATGGAAGATAGGATTAGTAGTTATTTGTATCGCAACCTCGCTATCACATATTAGACTTATAGGCTGCTGAATTCTAACTTCAAGTTCCTTAAAAAGCCCTACCTTCCAAGTGACTCCTGCTGCACATGAAGCCATACCTCTAAACTCAGCCTCAGCTGAACTTCTGGACACAGTCACTTGTTTCTTTGACTTCCAAGACACTAGTGCATTTCCAAATTTGACCAAGTACCCAGTAATTGATCTCATTGACTCTATACATGATCCCCATTCAGAATCACAGTAGGCAACCGGCTTGTCTGTACTTTCTTCAGGCATAAGTAACCCCAAGCCTTGTGCTCTTTTGATATATCTCACTACTCTAAGAGAAACTTCTATTGTGACACCTTGGGACAGTGTATATACTGACTCAAGACCTAAAATACAAAGGTAATATCAGGTCTTGTCATGGTGAGATATAGAATCCTTCCACAAGTCTTTGGTAGCAGCTAGGATTCTTGAGTTCCTAATCACCTTCTTATTTGCAGTTCTGAATGCATTTGTCATACTCTACAGATGTGAGTTTTTGATTCAACTCTAATGGTCTTCCGGGAAGGCTTTGCTCCACCCAAGCCTGCTTCAGATATCAACTCTAAAGCATACTTTCTTTGACATATAAGGATTCCTTTCTTTGATCTAGCAAATTCAATTCCTAGAAAGAATTTCAGCTCCCCTAAGTCCTTCATCTTGAACTTCTTCTGCAATTCTATTCATGTGTCACAAAGTAACTTATCATTGTTCCATGTGATCAACAGATCCTCCACATACACAAGGATGATAACTGTGTCACTATTGGTTCCTCTGATGAACAATGAATAATCATAGTGACTCTGTTTAAACTCTACCTGCAGGAGTACCTCTGTTAATTTCATATTCCACAGTCGTGGTGCTTGTTTAAGACCATATAAAGAGTTGTGGAGTTTGTAGACCTTCGTAGTCTCCCCTTATCTAGCAAACGCTTGTGGAATATGTATGTATACCTCTTTAACCAATTCACCATTAAGAAATGCACTATGAACATTCATCGGTTAAATCATCCATTGCTAAGAGGCAGCAAGAGCTATAATGGACCTAACTATCACCATCTTGGCTACAAGGGAGAATGTTTCACTGTAGTCTAGCCCTTCCATTTGACTGTAACCTTTGGCTACACGTTTGACCTTGTATCTTTCAACCTCACCTGAAGCCTTGTACTTTATTTTGAAGATCCACCTGCACCCTATTGGTATTTTTCCATAGGGCAGAACAACTATGCTCCAGGTTTTATTTTCTTCTAAGGCTGCAATCTCCAGCTTCATAGCTTTTACCCACTGAGGATTAGTGGCTGCCTCATTGAAGGACTGAGGCTCAGAACATGATGAATAAGCTGATTGACCTGAATGCATAAGGGAGTAATGTGAGAATAACTCACATAAACTGAGATATGATAGGAGCACCTAGTAGCTTTTGACTGCACCACATAATCTTGCATCCATAAGGGAGGCTTACTAGGCCTGGAGGATTTTCTAACTTGATCAGGCACAACATCAAATGAGTTAACTACTGCAACTCGTTCTGCAACATTAAGAACTTTTGTAGAATCAAGGTGAGCCTCAGCATGGGTATCAGCAGGTGCTGCATTATTTGAGAGGTCGCCTGCAGGATATGTAGGACTTGTAGAATAGTCTGGTGTGTGATGAGGAACAACAACTGGAGAAAGAGGAGCATCCCCCTCAGATGTAATATCAACCTCATATAGAGGAACATCAGTAACAGGAGAAAAATCTGTGGCACTAATTGGTGAGAGCAGATCTAGTATAAGAAAGATAGTGCTACAAGGAGATAACATATGCTTGAATGGAAAGATTTCTTCCTGAAAACAACATTTCTGTTAACAAATAGACACTTAGAATTCAGGTCATATAGAAAATAACCCTTTTGAGATGAAGAATATACTAGGAAGACAACAGGGATGGCTCTTGGTAAAAACTTGCTAACAACTCTGGGACATACTGCATAACATAGACAACCAAACACCTTAAGTGTTGCAGTGAAGGAGGATGCAAGTAAAGCAACTCAAATGGTGATTTGTACCCAAGTGTTCTAGAGAGCAACCTGTTGATGAGGTAGACTGAAATGGTGACACATTCACCCCAAAATCTTATAAGAACAGTAGCCTGGAACCTGAGAGACCTAATCATGTCTAAGATAGTTTTGTGCTTCCTCTCAATAATTCTATTTTATTGAGGGCTGTAGACACATGTACTTTGATGAAAGATACCAAGAGTGGGGAGTAACTGTTTAAACTCATTACTGAAAAAGTCACTACCTTTATCAATCCTTAAGACTTTTATTTAAGTTGAAAACATGTTCTTTATTTGAGTTAGAAAGTCTCTTAGTACAACTATAACTTCTGACTTGAAGTTGAGCAAAAAAATCCAAGTGTAGCTAACATAGTCATCAACTACTGTGACAAAATATCTCTTACCATTATGAAATGGAACTCTATATGGTCCCCAGATGTCACAATGAACTAAGTCAAATGCAGATTGAGACACCAATGTACTTAAAGGAAAAGACAATCTTGACTGTTTAGCAATCGAACATACAGGAAAGTAATGAATTCCTGTCTTTAAGGTACTAAGAACATCTAACTTCCTTATTACATCAATAGGAGCATGCCTAATCTCCTATGCCATACTACTTCAGAACCAAGTAAGTTGGTTGTGTGAGCATATTTATTTTTTAGTGTTACTGCAAAATACTGTGATGATCATCCTTGAAGTATTTACAAACCATGGTCCTCCTTATCAATCCCTTTCACCTGACCACTATAGAAATCCTGAAAAATGCAGAAGTAGGAAAGAATGCAACCATGCATTGATGTTCTTTGGTGTGTTGAGACACTAAGAGCAAGTTATATTTAAAATCTAGAATGTATAGCACATTAGAGATATTGTTATTTCTAAGTACTGATGAGGTACCTTTATCTGATACAGATATTACACTCCCTGTAGGTAATTGAATAATGCATCTCTCTGAACTGGGGATTGCTTGGCAAGAGGTAAGAGCATGTGAAGTCATATGATTTGAAGCTCCTATATCTATAATCCAATTATGTTTGGGATAATTGGACATTAGAGTAATTAGAGTACCTGTAGCAGCTAATTTGGTAGATGATTCTGGCCCCTCTTCATTCCCTTTGGATAACATCTGAAGAATTTGTTGATACTGCTCTTTGGTGAAGAAAGGAACAACATGAGTATTGTTAGGAGTAGTTTGTGTAAATTGTGGCATGTGAGCGTGCTAGAATTGATGCATCCCTGGATGAGTTCCATAAGTAACCTGCTGAGTACTTGCTTCTGTAGCATTTAGAAACATTGGACTACTCACACTGTTTGCATACACTCCAGAACTCTATCCCTTTTTCTTTCCTTTGAACTCTGATGGATAGCCATGAAGTTTGTAGTAGTTCTCCTTTGTATGCCCCTTATAATGGCAATATTCACACTGAACCCGATTCTTTATATACTTGAAGTTTTCACCTGCATTTGTTGGGCCCTTATTACAATAGAATATATCTCCTTCTATGCCTTCAGTAGTTTCAGTGGTCTAAGTGAAATTAGCTAGACTCTTTTGACTCTCTTGATCAATCAGTAGAGAGTAGGCTTTGTTAATACTAGGAATTAGAGACATCATCATGATCTGGCTCCTTGATTGTGAGTAGGACTTATTTAATCCCATCAGAAATTGAAGTAGCCTATGATAATCAAATTGTTGGGCATATTTTTTAGACTCAGGGGTACTCTGATTTCTCTTCAACTCACCGGTTCAGATAATTATGCGCTATGGAGAAGATCTATGAGGATTCGTTTGTTAGGGAAGAGCAAGTTAGGTTTTGTAGATGGTCGATTTCCTAAGTCTAAGTTTGAGTTTAAACTTCATGATCAATGGGAGAAAGTTAATGTTGTAGTTCTCTCATGGATAATGAATGCATGTTTACTTAGTAGTGTAGTCTATGCTTCTAATGCTCACAAAGTTTGGGACGACATAAAGGAGAGATTCGACAAGGTAAATGGATCTAGGGTTCTGTTCCTACATAGAGAGATCATACCCTCACTCAAGGTACCATGTCTATTGCTGACTACTTCTCCAAATTGAGAGATCTCTGGGATGAATTTGATGCGTTAATAGCTACATGGATTTGAAGGTTGAGCTCGAGGAGAAGGCAACACTCAGAGGATGAGAGAAATAGAATCCGTTATTGAGAAGAAAATGATACAATCGTCTATCTGTACATGCGTGTATTGTGTATTTATAAAGCTACAGTATAACTACCTTCTAACACTATACTAACTATACTAACCCTTCTAACTATGGTTAACTTATCAGCTTGCTTCATTAACTTCAGTCAAACACTTTCTTATGCTAAGTTTTATTTATTTAGTTATTTCGATACCTACATTCGAACTAGATTAAATGTGAATTTGCACCAAAAAATATTCCAAACAAAGATAACTTCATATATAGGATTAAAACATGAGACATTTGAGCTCTGATTATGCTAAATTCACTCAAGAGACACATTTTTATAATAAGATATACATGTTTAATTTTGCAAGTACAAGCAAAGTGACATATATACATCTCGTCAATCACATTCAATAACTTCAAAATGACTGAGTGTTTATTAGTTATATACAATACTTCTACTTGTTTTCTTTCCCTTTCAAAAGATAATATATTACTATAAATAATTAGTACATATCGCATGCTTGGGAAATCATAATACACTATTTTTTATCCATATTAGTATAGTACTGGTTAACTATTACAGGTTGTTTCTAACTCCCCCTCTCCATTTGCTATTATTTGTAATCTTATAGAGATTATTTGAGAATTGAGATTGTTAAAACGTGGAAGTTTTGGTCCTACTAACATTGGATTACTTTTGACCTTTTAGGATTCCAATCTAATCAATGATTAATGATCAGTCTTAGGCCTGTGTAATCATATCTTAATCAGGTAAAAATCAGGATTTGCTTAAAAATATTAAGTTTTCCTGAAGCATCTCTAATAATTAATCCATTAAACAAGAAGGCTAGTCTAAGTTTAATTTCCAATTAAGCGCCTTTTCTTAATTAATAAGAAGTTTCGTGCACTTCAACTTTTCATATTCGTTTATTTAGCTTGTAAATTTGTTTAATTTTAGCATTCTAGTCCTAAAAAAATAGATGGTGATCAAGAGTATTCAACTAAAAGTTTACACAATTAATTTATTTTAACTTGTTATTATATATAGTTGTTGACCTTATATTTTATTGATCTTATTTATAGTAGACAATTACCTATAGCTATCTTTTAGGTAATTTGAGGAGTCGTTCGGTTTGTGGATAAAAGATAACAATTCAGGGATTAAATACTAAATTATTTCATCATGTGTTCTTTTTTATGATTAACAATCCAGGATTAGTTATACCGCGCAATTGTAGTATTATTTTATACCAACTTAATTCAATATGGGATAACAATCGTGCAATTACTAATGTTGAGTTAAAACGCCAAAAATAACCAAGATACCCTTCCTCAAGGCTCTTCTCCAAAGTCCATTAAAAAATCTAAGGTTAAAAATTGAAATATAAGTTTATCCCAACTTATCTAGCATAAAATCAAACATGTACGTAGTTTATATTATATCCCATATATCTCATTTCTAGTCCAATGAACCAAATAACTATCAATAAAAGTATATCCACATGTATTAAATATAACAGTCATTATTTAATCCCCATATTAATTAAAATCACATCTCAATAATTTCGGTACTTTTCATCAAACAAACGACCCCTTATAGTGTAAAAGAATTATCTGTCAGTGCATAGAAATTAAACGATATAAAAATACGTCAAGATGCACTCTAGTTTTGCGTTAGAAAAAAAAATATGAAATCCAAATTAATATGATATAAATTAATTTTCGCTGTCAATATTCTATTTTGAGTGTGTTTGACGAAGAATGTAAAATGTGAGCAGTGCATAGGATCAAGAGTTTAAAGCATTAAAGTGTTAAAAATATATATATTGTTGGATTCTTCACTGAAACCTAACTGATTTTTTCTCCTTAACATGTGCCGGTGGTCCATGTATCTTTCCCCATAAAATAAGAAAGAAAACTACCACTAATAATTCTTTTTTTCTAAGTATATAGTTTGTCTTTGTATATTTTTCTCAACTAATCTCATTTACTTTTTCTTCTTCTTCATTTAATGCTAGAATTTAAAGAAAGAAACTCTTTCCTGCCAAATTAGGTGAATGCTGCATTTTATTTCTCTATTCTTTAATTTCTTGCATATACAGGACAATTCGATGTACAAAGTATTTCGCGTCACACATGATTTAGGAAAAGATATAATGTAGATAGTCTATCTTAATACAAACATTAGTGACTGCTTTCACGACTCGATTGGCATGTTACAACTTACAAGCTGAATCATAGTGTTTTACTTGCTTTTGTTATCCTACTTTAGTCCATTTTTTTTTTGTCAAAATATTAATTTTTCACTTTAGAAAATTAAGAAAGCATTAATTATGTTTTTCCATATTTGGCATTATAACTACTCCATGAAGGCATATAATTATGATTATTACTCTTTTCATGAAAGAATAATAGTAATTTAGTCAAATATCTTTTATGAATGTTATTTGTCTTAATTAGGTTCTTATTCACCCATTAAAAATCCCTTAATAGCATTAATTATACGAGTTATTTGACTAAATTACCTTTTATTTCTTTTCATAATGACTTTTTATTTCTCATCAGACTGTTTATAATTTTGTGCAGCCGTGAAAAAAGCCTCTTGCAGAAATGCAGGGTAAGATTGCGTATTATAAACCCTTTTGGTCCGGCCGTTTCTAGGACCTCGTGCATAGCGAGAGATTAGTACAACAACACTAGATTTTAGAAAAAAAATAACTTACTCTTGGTTTTCATAAAAAGAAAAAGCAAAAAGAAAAACTTACATAAAATCCGGAATTGTATATAACAATTGCAGTTGTAAAGGAGAATAAAAAATAATAAAAAAAAGTCTCTGTATTTTAATCATTTGTTCAGCGGCAAAGTCGTAGAAGGTATCTTTATCAGTTTCCTATAATGGAGACTATTTATGAGGGAAGTTCAAGAAATAGCCATTAGAAGTATCAATAGGATTTTGGAGAAATTTGCATCATCCTCAATACTCTGTATTATCCGGAGAGTCAGAATTTAAAGTTTATGGGTTCTGAAGTATTGTCGAATTCTCCAATTCTAAGAAAGGGCCGGTCATCCAACGATAAGGGGTAAATCAGGTCAGCCGATATATAGCTCGTTTTAGTTATTCAGTTCGCAATTAAATATTTACACATATGGAAAGGGCAGCTCGGGTGCACTAAGCTCCCGCTATGTGCGGGATCCGGGGAAGGGCCGAACAACAAGGGTTTATAGTACGCAGTCTTACCCTGTATTTCTGCAAAAAATTATTTTTACGGCTCGAACCCGTGATTTCCTAGTCACATGACAACAACTTTACCAGTTATGCCAACAAGGCTCCCCTTCATAATACAAATACATGATCTACAGTAAAAGTTACTATGTTGGTCTGAACCCGTAGCTAATATTGTAGCTCCGCCCTAATTATATGTGCATGTGATTCTGAGTTAATGGTGTTAGAGTGTTAGCTGGTTTTAAGTAAGTCTTCTTTTGGCTCTCCAACGACCTCTGCTGGCATTTATTGTTCTTTGCTTTTAAAGCCGTGTTTTAGCATACAATATATGATCATAAGATTATACTACACATAGTACACACACTCTCCCTCTCACATTCACACACTTACATTTACATGTATCATGCATATGAACGTATATATATATATATATATTTAATATTTGTACTGTGATATGTCTATATATTCTTGAGTTTATTTTTTTTCAACAACAGTCCGGCCCCTTCATTTATTACCTCCTCTTCCACTTAACTTCTTCTTCTATAAATCACTTTATTTTCTTTCTTCTCTGTCACTCACAGGTCTTCTCCTTTCTTCTTTTCTTTCCCTTCTACCCCCACTTAGCTTTTATTAATAAATTTTCTGCTTTTTTAATTTCCTTTATAAAGTTATTATCTTTTTTATTAATCTTCTTGAAGCTCAAGTGTTAGGATCTCTCAAGTTAGACAGCCATTGTTGCAGGTAAGCATATGACATTTCTAGTTCTTTGCTCTTTTTTAAGGACATTTGGTTTAAGATGTTCTTGAAAAACAAATAAAAATGTTTTTTGGAAATTAAAATAACACCAACATTGTCCAAAATCATTTTTTTTTCAAAAACTATGAACACCAAAGTTTTTTGGGGCATTTGCACACATTGTGTTCTTTGTGGTCATTATTTAAATTATGTCTCCACTAGGCCGATGGATTAAATTTGTTTGCAAAAATTCATTTACTTTTAAAGGCGTAATTTAACCCATTGAGCTAACATATAATTTAAAAGTGGGGATCTTTACACAAATAACCGGCTATATTCATTGTTTATTTTTCTAGCCATATACATATATTATGCATTGATTATACATATATAATACATAAATTATGCATATATTATACTTTCACCAGCTATTTTGAGTTTAAGTGATTGAATGAGCGGCTATTTGGGTTAATTCTTCAAAAAAGTGGCCTAAACAAAGGCCATTTTTGCAAATATCCAAAAATATTGACAAATTTTTCTTTCTTTTTATGTTTTGGACAGGGAAATTAGTGTTGTTAGAAGATATGGATGCGTCAACGGGCATGATGATTGTTTCAATTGTAGCGGCCTACTTACTATGGTTCAAATCCATCACAAAATCCATGAAAGGGCCCAAAGGCCCAAAAATGTGGCCCATAGTTGGAAGTTTACCCGGCCTGCTTGAAAACGGGACCCGAATGCATGAATGGATCGCGGAAAACCTTCGGGCCTGTGCCGGTACGTACCAAACTTGCATATTTGCAATTCCATTTTTAGCCCGGAAGCAAGGTCTCGTGACAGTCACGTGCGATCCAAAAAATTTAGAGCATATATTGAAGGTTAGGTTTGATAATTATCCTAAGGGTCCTACTTGGCAAGCTGTGTTTCATGATTTGCTTGGTGAGGGTATCTTCAATTCGGACGGTGACACGTGGCTCTTCCAGCGCAAGACAGCTGCGCTGGAATTTACCACTCGAACCTTGAGGCAAGCCATGGGTCGATGGGTTAACCGAGCCATCAAGAATCGGTTCTGCCCGATTCTTGAGATGGCTCAGGTTCAGGGCAAGCCGGTTGATCTTCAAGACCTATTGCTTCGGCTCACTTTTGATAACATTTGTGGCTTGGCTTTTGGCAAAGATCCAGAGACGCTCTCTCCAGAATTACCTGAAAATAACTTTGCTACGTCTTTTGATCGAGCCACTGAAGCCTCATTGCACCGGTTCATCATGCCCGAGTTCGTTTGGAAGTTGAAGAAAATGCTTGGACTTGGAATGGAGGTGAGCCTAAGCCATAGCTTGAAACAAGTGGACGATTACATGACTGACGTTATCAATACACGTAAGCTAGAGCTGCTGAATCATCAGGACGGTGGGCCCAAGCACGACGATTTGCTCTCGAGGTTCATGAAGAAAAAAGAATCCTACTCGAACAAATTCCTCCAACACGTGGCGCTCAACTTCATCCTAGCTGGACGTGACACATCATCCGTCGCACTGAGCTGGTTCTTCTGGTTGGTCAGCTTGAATCCGAGGGTGGAAGAAAAGATACTCATCGAACTCTGCACCGTCCTAGCAGAGACACGTGGCAACGACACGTCAAAGTGGTTAGAAGAACCTCTAGTGTTTGAGGAAGTTGACCGATTGACATATCTCAAGGCAGCATTATCCGAAACCCTAAGACTTTACCCATCCGTGCCAGAGGACTCAAAACATGTCATTTGTGACGATTATTTGCCCGATGGCACATTTGTACCGGCAGGTTCAAATATCACATATTCCATATACTCAACTGGTCGAATGAAATTCATATGGGGCGAAGATTGCTTAGAATTCAAGCCAGAAAGGTGGATGTCACAAGACGGTAACAAGTACCAAGTTCAAGATGCATTTAGATTTGTCGCATTCAATGCAGGACCAAGAATTTGTCTAGGTAAAGACTTGGCTTATTTGCAAATGAAATCAATAGCAGCAGCAGTGCTACTCCGCCACCGCCTCGCGGTGGCGCCAGGCCATAAGGTGGAACAGAAAATGTCCCTAACATTATTCATGAAGTATGGTCTAGTTATGAATGTGACCCCTAGAGACTTGACTCCAATTTTGGCAAAATTTGGCAAAATTGAGTCATGTGCTGGCGAGCATCTTATCAATAATGGCATTCATCAACCAGAGGCTATTACAGTAAATGGGATTGCTTGAAGATAAACATTGCAAATCTTATTAATTTGTTATTGATATAGTAACAATTATATACAGTAACATTTATCTTGTTGCAATAATGTCTGAAGAGGTATTTATTTCTCCAGTTTACCAGATAACTTTTTGCCAAAGTGGAATATTACAACTTAACTTCTTCTTTTTATTTTATTTTTTTTCCTTTTCTTATCACCTTCTTATTGTTTTTTCTGTTCCAAAGCATAGTAAATGATTATATATATAGATATTGTACCTCATTAGTCCATTTTGTGAAATAAAATACAGTTCTGATTTTAAAGTTTAAAGTTCTGCACTGTGACTACTTGTATCATTTGTCCTTTTAATATTTTGATAATTAATATATGGTGGCTATGTACAAAAAGTTGCATTATATTGTTAGTAGACTCTTTTTTATTTATTTATTTTCCATTAGTGTTTCTTATCCATTTTGGGGACCAACTAATCTGAGTTTGTGTTGCGACAACTTATTTTGAAGGATAAAAAGTTTTTTATCAAAGAAGACTTTATTTCCAGGCTTAAATCCGAAACCTTTAGTTAAGAACGGACGAAACTCACCACCCACCACAAAGTTAGTTGGCCCTTTATATTTAAATTAAAATATTCATGAATTTCATGGACCACATGCCATGATATATGTACACTACATTTCTTTAGAAAAATGATCTCACGTTCTCACAACTAGATTTACGGCCATAAATGCAATGATATGTACTATTTGTCAATCACTATTGATTTTGATTAGATTTTGTTATTTTGACTAGCTAGTAACCCATAATTGTACCCTTATTGTAGAAATTAAGTTTTCTTAGCAATGTGAAAACTGATTTTGAAATTCTTCAAACAAAAATTGCCAAATAGACCATGTATAGTATTTGACCAAAAGATATTGAAATATTTTTTATTAAATCAATTAAAGGAGTTGAAGGAGTAAATTTCTGCCAAGTATAATCATATATAGCTTGAAAGATGTAAAGAATGAACAAGATGAACGATGTTTCTTAATACCTCAAAACCGAACGATTAAGCGTAAATATGACAACTTTTAATATAGAAAGATTTCATAAAATGTTCTTAGCCAAAAGCAAAAATCATATATAGTACTCTGAATTGTGATAAGTCACGAATCTCCTTTTTTACAGAGTGTTCAATCCCCTTTTATAGGGGACAATCCTCTTTTTTACCCTAAAAAAAGGTACAACACAAGAAATATTCGAAAGGCATATTCCTATTGTTTCCTATCATAATAGTACGACTAATAATGTCGTGCATTCTCTAGCCACTGTTAGTTGTCACCCATCATAACGATCTTAAGACGCAGCGTCGTAGGGACCTCGCTCCCTACTACACTTGGTCACGGTCGTAGTCGCCCAAATTTTGACCTATACAGTTAGTCCCTCCGCTTGTCGAGGTCACAACCTGGGCTCCTTGATAAGCGGACGTCACCCATGCTTACGAAGAAATTTGATCTGCAAGCCATGACGATTTCGGCTGATGACGGAAGAACGATGCACTTTGATATACCTTGGGCGGTGTGTTCTATCTGTGGAGTGACGTCACTTCCCCGTGCGTCATCATGGCGCATCTTCTCGAGGCAGAGATTGTTGGCTGTCGCTTTGATTTTGCTGCCACGGGAAACCTTTTCGCTTCGATTCTGGTGCCACCCAACCCTATAAATAGAGGAAGGGTTTGTTTTTTCAAAAACGTTTGGCCATTTCTCTTCTGATCATCCCCTTTCGTATTTTTAGCTTTGCTTCTGCGATTTTCTTCATCTCTTCTTTCTTGTTCATTGTTCTTGGTCTCCCTCATTCCATTAGCACATCTCCTTCCATAGAAATGCCTAGAACACACTGATCACGTGAGGGGATTTCTGACGCCACTCCGCTATCCGTGGCACTCCCTTCCGGTGGCGAGGACATGGCGGTGGAGGAATGGCACAACTTTCCCACAGTGGATGAGTTACTACCGAGAAACCCCATGTCTCGAAGTGACTTTCTTAAAGAACATGCTTCGGTAGTATCTGAAACTGAGCAGGCCCACATAGACGCTCTCCGTACCAAATATAACATTCCCCCTCATGTCGAGATGGTTCCGGTGGGAAGGGACTTCGTGGAAGTCCATAGACCGGGGTATTGTGCTTTTTATGAGTACCCCTTTTTGATTGGTCATTCCTTCCCCCTTCTCCCATTAGCAGAAGAATTCTGTCGATTCTACCAGGTTTGCCCGGCACAACTTTCTCCGTACACGTATAAGATACTTTTGGTGTTGACAAAATACGCAGAGCTGGCGGGGTGTGAAGTTAATATTCACCATCTCCTGCACCTATTTCCCCTAGTTTTCACAGGGGTATTATGGTGCACTTGAGGCACCATGGGACCAAAGGGCTGGTGGTTGGAACTGATGACCGGGTGAGCCGTAAATTTTGGCACAAATATTTCTTCATTAGAACTGAACATATTGTGTTGGACCCCGCTAGATTCCTGGAGCGGTGGAATGAGAATCGTAAGTATTGTAACTTGTTTACTATTTTTCCTCTCTTTTTTTTGTGTCCAACTTGGCATTCGTTTGTGGCTCTCTTTTGCAGCTATGAGGCGTCCACCCCATCCCATCACCAGTATAAGGGATTGGGTAGCCCGTTCGCTGCTTCAGGCAGTGGAGACTCGAGATTGGTCCGCTTTTGTGAAAAGCTTTGGGCCGAAGGTATCATCTGGTAAGTATCTTCCTCTATACCGCCCTTTGGTTGTTTGACATTGTCTATTGATACGACTCTCTGTGATGATAGGCCGTGGGGCTTCTAGGCGGAGGGCCCCAGTCCCCGCATTTCGCCAGACAGTCGCCTCCGCAGGAACCCAATTCACTTTGGATGAGTCCATCCGTGAAGGTCATGCTCAACCGGTACAGGTGAGAGACTCCTCTCGGGATATGGTCGTGAGGGAAGAGATCTCTTCTTTACCGGTCCATCACCTCGTGGATGAGTCCTCTAATGGGGACAAATCCTTGTTGAGAAAAAGGAGAATGGTAGAGCTCGTGAAAGGCGTGACTGTTGATACTGGTAAGAGTGGGACGGGTGCGTCGGAGGCGGCACCGGTGCCCGTGTTTATGGCCGATGTCATCTTGGCGGGGAGGTCTCCCCGAATATAAGGGGTCTACCAAGGAGGGGAGTCTGTGTGCTCTGCTGAGGGCGACACATCATCTACTATCAGATGGGGCTTGTGTGTTGAGGGCGACGACTCAGGCTCGGACGTCGACCCAAGGGATGTTCGTGAGTTTTTGGAGCGTCACACTCACGTAGAGGTCAGAATGGAGGGTTATGATCAACACATAGTCGTTCCTAGGGACTACGACTTGTTGTCGACCTGTGATCAGGTGGCGTCTGTTTTTCCCCTTTATGTGCTTCCCCTGAGAGCGAGGCACTTAGATCAATGAGTGATACAGAGCTGTCTCGGAGCATTTCTGGCATGGCTCTGTGGGTAAATATCTTTCTTTTCATTTCGTCGTTGGATTTCTGTTACTATTTTTGGCCTATCCTTTCGTTTTAACTTTATTTTTCGTGCTAGACCTTTATCATGGAGATCGAACTTGAGCGTTTGGAAAGGAGAAGGACGACCATCTATGGAAAGATGTCTTCCAAGTATCAAGAATATCGCACCAAGCACCGTGCGATGGTCGACATCTACAATCAAGATCGCGGCTTCCAACTGTTCGGTGAAGGGCTCAAGCAGAGGGAGGATCAATTGGCGCGTAAGGTCAAAGAGTTGAAGGAACAAGATGAGGACCTTATAAAGGCCGTGGCTCGTAGTAGTGAGCTTGAGGCAGCCCTTAAAGTCAGGGAAGATGAGCTTGAGCTAAGTAGGGGGTAGTGGCCGAAAATGCAGACCTACAAGCAAATGTGGCCAGTTTAATTGCTGAACTGGATATGAAGACAACAGAGGTCGATGAGCTTAAGGGTGGATTGAGCGTAAATGCTGATAGATTGGCCCACGTCGAGAGGGAGAGGGCGACTACTATCTCTGAGGTGACGGTTTTAGAAGACTCCCTACGTGTTTGTAGGTTGGAGTGGACCAAGGGGATGGAGGCGTCTGCGCTTAAGATAGCAGGACTTGAGGGGCATATTCAAGGGTTGGAGGCGAAACTGTCCGCGTTAAATGAGCAAGTGGCTTCTTTGAAAATGGAGGACGCACAATGGCAGTCGCAGCCTTCTATATCTCATGCTTTGGCTAACTTTGTCGTGCCTCAACATTTTTGTGAGTTGTGTGTTCACGCTGAAGCCCAGCTTGATGTGTACAAGGCTCTTCATGTTGGCGGGAAGGCGTCTGGCGTAGATCTTTAGGATGTACGTGCCAAGGCACGTGCAACTCGTGAGGCATATGGGTACGACCCTCTCACGTATGATGGGGATGATATTAATTCTGATGATGCGAACAGACTTGCCTTCGACTCTTGGTACGAAGACGTATATGCCACTGGAAATGATGTGCAGTATTTGGTTTGCATTTGCTTTTTCTTCGCAATTTTTTTGTAAGGGCGTCTTTGAGCCCTTTGCAAAGACAGGCACTTGCAATATTTTTGCTATAATGAAAAATTATTTTGTCTATTTGGTGGTAACCTTTGCTGCATTCATGTTATTCTGAACCTTTGCAGAAATATTTAAGCTCGTCGTGTTTCGAGTGAATTCGAACTAATTTCTTTGATGATGGCCTTAGCCATCGGGATGTTACTTTCGAGCTGGTGCCGAAGTAGTATCCCGTCGTGGTTCGAATGATGTTGAACTTCATCTTTTGTTGACTGCCTTAGACATTGGGATGTTACTTTCGAGTTGGTGCCGAAGTAGTATCCCATTGTGGTTCGAATGATGTCGAACTCATTCTTTTGTTGATGGCCTTAGCCATTAGGATGTTACTTTTGAGCTGTTGTCGAAGTAGTATCCCGTCGTAGTTCGAATGATGTCGAACACATTCTTTTGTTGATGGCCTTAGCCATTGGGATGTTACTTTCGAGCTGGTGCCAAAGTAGTATCACGTCGTGGTTCGAATTATGTCGAACTCATTCTTTTGTCGATGGCCTTAGCCATTGGGATGTTACTTTCGAGCTGGTGCCGAAGTAGTATCCCGTCGTGAGGGTGGCATTCTATTTTATTTGTTGGAGTGTTGTAGGTGCCGATTTTATTCATGCATTGGAGACGTGTGTTGATTTCGTGTACATAATGGAGTGATTTTATTCATATGTCGGAGATACATGTCAACTTTGCTCATACAATGGCGGTACATGTCGATTTTGTAC